ATACTGGATTGAATGGAAGATACTCCTGGAAACGAATGACTGGTATCTTGTGTTGCTAAGTGTGTTGTGTTGCTATATACAATAATCTCTGTTGTACAAATGATATACAGCAGGTCTACTCAACGCACGGGCCTCTTTGTTTGTGGCCCGTGTGCAGTTTGGGTTTATATGGGGCTCAACATGTGGGATCCTTTGAACATGGCCTCCACTGGGAACACGCGCCACAATGGCGAGGCGTCCCCCAGGTAGAGTAAGCATTTGAAAGACACAAGCGGATGGACTGGCTGAAACAGACAGGTAAAGGGTGTCAGCATTTCTAGCCTCCCCAGGAGGAGGTGCCGGGAGCACCAGGGCATTGTGTGAAAGAAGCTATTTGCATATATATGCAACCACACTTAAGTTGCGGCCCTCGGCGTGTGCTGTGAGTATCATTGTGGCCTCCGGGGTTTCCAAAGTTGAGTAGCCCTGTTATACAGGGATCCTCATCCACCCATGATGGGCAGCGACCTATGGGATGAAAGTCACCAGCTGTTTATTATTTCTCTAATAGGTATTGGCTCACAACATCACATTGGGACCTGGACCCAAATATTGTGCCTGGGTCTGTGGCTGCACTGGAAATTCTTTTGGTACTATCAAGAGCGAAGGGTGTTATATAAACATATGAGCATGATCATTTCCAACCTGATGAGCAAGATTCCCATTGACGTTAACTGTGGCTCAACTTGTGGAGTTAGTGTGGGAGCAGGAGCCAAAAACTGCTGAGTCCTGATTTGTGTGACCTTTAACAGGGCTGAAAAGGTTGGAAAATCTCATTACATGTTCACGATAAAAAAGTGACTCTCTACCAATGTTCCCTCTAATCTTTTCCATCCATCTGCGGATTTTTTTTCTATCCATGTGCGGAATCATTTTTATGTGCACCGATATGTGCTGTGGGCGCTCTGCTAATTGGCTAGGCAGCATTGGAATCCCTCTTGAACGGCCACAGAAGCACCCAGCTTACGGAGAACACTGCTCTCCGCCCCCACCATACAAAAAACATCTGAATTTCATTTTTTTAAACCAACTTATCCTTTGGCTTCACCTGCAAAATGGGGGTAGTGGCATGGACAATGACTACCCTTTATTTGTATTGCAGTAGCTCTAGGAGTCTCAGTTATGAACCAGCACCCCAATATGCTGGATGCTGTACAGGCAGTTTCTTTCCAACAGAATGACGGGATGTTGTGATGGGTCAGATGCATTCTAAGTATTGTCACTTGCTAGAGGTTTATTGTGGGGATGATAAGGAGTAAGTGTAAACCTTGTATTTACCCTCCAAACTCCATAGAACGAGTTACCTCTTTTCATTTCTGTGGCATTACTCCTGATTTACACGAGTGTGCAGAAGAATCAGCTGCTTCATGAGCCCAGATGTTGCGGGGCAAACAAATATTCTGCCTGCTGAGCAGTTTGCTTTGACAGCTTTGGTGGGTGTCATTAGGGTATTACACACTAAGCCCAGGTAATAATTTCTAAATGCTGCAGAGATCCCAGGAGGGCAGCAAACTACAGCAACCCTGAAACATCGGGGTTAATGGGTTCTGCATACTGCCATTCGGTAGTGAATCGCTGCTTTGAATATTTGAATGAAATGTCAGTGGATTAGAAGCTTTGCGAAAGACGTTTTAAGGAAGCCACCATGCCATCCATCCTAGGAAGTAAATTGGCACTAAGGCCATCCCAGAGAGCTGGTGCATGGATGCTGGAGATTATATGGGGAGATTTCTCCAGGCACAACTGGCAGTGGTACCTAACTCACCATGGGAATTGGTCACCTAACTGCTATTTGTGCCTCAAACAAAGCCTATCTCAAGCTGGTCTCTAGGATGTCTAGGTTGCAGCCTTCTTTCGGAAGGAGCTTTTCTGGAAGAGATCTTCTTTTGAAAAAAAAAACCCTCTTCCCCATGCACACAGGCTTTTTTCCGAAAGATCTCTTTCAGAAAAAGGCTTCTTCCTCGTAGAAAGAAGTTTAACAATGTCAGAAAACCCCCTGCGTTGTTTTGACTTTCTGTTGTGTCGTTTTTCCCGGAAATACGGCCATTTTTCCAGAAAAACTCTGCAGTGTAGACATACCCTAGGACACAGAGGGTCAACGGCTTGCACAGGAAGGCTATGTCTACACTGGCACAACCTTGCGCCAGAGATATGCAAATGAGGCTACGCGTGGACTATCGCGGAGCCTCATTTGCATACCTAATGAGCCGCCATTTTTTTGGAAAAGGCTCTTGTGCTAGAAGGAGCGGTCTACACTGCCCCTTCTTGCACAAGAAAAACCCTCTTGCACAATGCTGCTACGCTGATTATTTTCAGGAATAATGGCATTGCGCAAGAGGGTTTTTCTTGCACAAGAAGGGGCAGCTTAGCCTCATTTGCATATCTCTGGCGTAAGATCGCGACAGTGTAGACATAGCCGAAAGGTGGCCTGACAGGAGAACATCGGGAGCCATCCTAGGTACTGGGGGAAAAATATCACAACAAACTCCAGCCGAAAGGCACCAGGCAGAGTGGCACTTCAAAAGCACAGCCACAATGGAGCAGTCTGCTCTCCACGCACCCAATTTACGAGCTTTGAAATGATAAACAGCAAAGCGTGGCCATAATAGCTCATTTATGTGCTGCATTAAGCACCCCTGAGGACCCCGTCAGACAACCAAAACAAGGCTGTCTCTGTGTCCCATAAATATGGATGAGTGGCAGGCAAAATGGAAGCAAAGCCATTACAAAACAGCTCAATTAAGGACACTAATCAAAAGGAGAGGGAGGGCTAATGGGGACTAGTGCCTCCAAGAGAGACCTTCCCCTTGCATGGAGGGCCCGCATGCTGACGTATGGCTCATCGTCCAATGGGAGGGACGCGGAGGCTTCGCCCCGGTACATTCTGAAGAGGCCCCAGACTGTGCATCTCATCAGACAAAGACTGTATGAAATTAATAACGCATGCAAATGTTGCTGCTTTTAAAGGACAAGAAAGGATTTTAAACTGGAAGATTAGCGGCGTGTTAATTCTTCCAGCAGGCACGATGTCAGAGCCATGGCAACAGGCTTGCCGCTGGTTTGCTTTATAGGAGGTTTAGGGGGTTGCTTGCAGTGGGTTCAGAGAGAGAGAAGGTGAAAGTGAGCAAGGCTGTGGTGTGGTCTGTGTCTCAAGAAAGTAGGACTGCTTAGAGAGACGACTGGGCGGTGTATGAAAAAAGGCATATTCTGTAATAGATGGCAGAGGAGATAAGTCATGCGCTCCCAACACCCTCCATCACAATTAGGGCATATTCAATTAAACGGGATGCAAGAATGAAAGAAAATACATAACCTCCACCCCTCAACACATAATTGACCTGGGGAACTCCTTGCCACAGTGTATCACTGGGGCCAAGAAGTTAACAAGATTCAAAAGAAGCTTACACATGAGAATACCAACAGCTACTTTGAGTAGGGTTAAAAAAAAATCTGAAAGGCTGTAAACCTCTATCTCATGGCGGGAGGGAGTAATGGGGTAGAAGGCACTTCTGCTATGGGCAGCTCACCCAATATTTTCACTACAAATTTTCTGGCACTTCCCTCTGAAGCAGCTAGTGCTGGCCAATTGCTGAGACAGAATACTGGGCTCACTGAGTTCATCCAGTCTGCCAATTCTTGTGCTCCATGGCTGACTATTTCCATTTAGAAAAGCAACATCTACTGCTAGATACTTTATAATGTGCACAGCATGACACCACGACTAAGAAATTCCACCTTAACTGCCTAGCATGCTCAGCCCTAAAACTAATGAGATCTTACTGTGTCATAGCAAACCACAGCGCCTCACTCCAGTGCGCATGAATGACGGACCATATCATAACAAACCAGTGGGTATAGAAGTAATCAGTCACCCCTACAATTAAAAAGCCTGCTTGTCTCAGTGAGTGATCCCACAGTAAATAAACCCCTTCCCCCAAACAGCAGACACAGTTATAATTTCACTCAGCTCTGATCTGCACTAGGGCTTTATTTCGAAATAACCCCCCTTAGGTCAAATTAAGAAGCGGAGTGTTCACACTAACAAGCCTGTTATTTTGAAAGAACAGGCTGCTTACTTCGAAAGCTGTACTCCTGCTTTCCTCGGGGAATAATGCTCATTTTGAAATAGTTATTCCGAAATAGCGGTTGTGTGGACGCACTGGTGCCACTATTTTGAAATAACTACTCCCCCAAGTCATTCAAACTAATTAGTCCCCAGTGTTGCCTGGGGCTCTAAGTCGAGGTTGCATATCTACTTTAACGGAGCCTGTCTCGGACTGATTTCACAGCTACCCCATAGTGAGGGCACGCAATTTCAATTGTTATTTCAGGAGTTATTAAATCAATTTTAGTTATTTTGAATTAGTTTCCTAGTGTAGACGTGTCCTTTCAGAGTAAATGCATGGAGTTAACTGGAGCTGCAGTGGTAGGAAACCAGTGTCAGAGAGATCAGAGACAGGCCCTATGGAGCAAGGCATGTACACTGTCCATGAATCAGTACCAGACCAACATTTGTGAAGGGTGCTCCCATGGGTGCACCACGTATCCCTCAGCAAAAAAAGGAAACCCAACAGGGCATGCAGCCTGACAATCACGAGCCACCCTACCAACAAACCAGCCTGTCTTTGTTCAATGGAGGAGAAGTAATTGCGTTAAGGCAGCGTTTCTCAAACTGTGGGTCCTGACCCCCCGGGGGGTCGTGAGCAACTTAGGGGGGGGGTCGCGAGCAACTGAGAAGCTGGTTGCAGCAATGGAGAGGGGGGTCACGAGCAACTGAGAGGGGGGTCACAGTATCACAAGTTTGACAACTCCTGCATTAAGGGAAGAACAGGTTGAATTTGCAGACTGCCAGGGGTGGGATATTGAACTTGTCAAAGGGTCTGGTAGCTAGGCCAGTGGGCATTGGATGTGCAGTGATGTGCAGTGGCAGTCTAGAGCCATGGCATTGGAGTGCCCCTTACCTGGCTATGACAAACAGCACACAGCTGACCCCCAAGTAGGCGAGGAGAATGTACATCCAAATGTCAGGAGACAAGGGGTTGAGGAAGGAAAACACACTGGGATTGGTCCCGTTGGGCTTCCGGTACAGAATGCTGACCCCCAATGTCATGAAAGGCTTGGAGAAGTCTATCGCTTTCTCCCGGACGTGGGTGATGGTGAGAGGAGCAACAGCCAGATCAGCTTTCTGTGCGGCAACACAGAGGGAGAGAGAGACAGAGGGAGGGAGGGAGGGAGAGAGAGAGAGAGAAGCCATTAGAAATCCAGGCACTTCCATCCCCGTCTAAGCACCACCCTCGGTCATCCTCGGGGGAGCCTGACTGGCACTCAGGACAGGGGAGAAGCCTACTGAATGGAGGGAACAGTAGTGTTTAGTAAATTCTTTTGTAATGCTTGTTCCAACTAGGGACAGGCCTGGCCTTCCTGGATTACCCCAAAGCAGGGCCACCACGTGTGCTGTCCTCCAAACAGAAACAAAGCAGACTGGGCTCTTAGGAAGCAATTTGAGTCTCAACTGCGAAGTGTGACCTAGTGCCACAGGAATCTACTGACGCCAGCTGTGGATCGGGCCCAAGGCATGCAAAGTCAGGGAGGCATCACAACAATCCACCGGGCCCCACACCCAGCCTGCTCAGCCACACATCCTCGGAGGGGATTTGGACAAATCGCCAGCCCTCGAAGCACTGTCAGCCAGAGGGCTCAAAGTTCATGGCGCGACCAGGTTTGCCTGGTGACAAGGGGGAAGAGACGGAAGGTTGAGGGGGGAGAGATGGAAAAAAAGTGCACAGACGTAAGCGGCAGGAGGTGATGCTCTTTCCCCTAGTCCATGGACACACAGGTCACTCTTTTATTACTACTCATTTGTACTACAGTATCACCGAGAGACTCTGGCTTAAACTGGAATGAGAGGCTCCGCCCCCAAGAGTGGGAAATATAAAGAGACACAGATCAGCAGGGAAACTGAGGCACGGCGCGCAGCAGAGATGTGCCCAAGTTGTCACAGTGGCAGAGGCAGGAAAAGAGCACAGGTAACCCCACTCCCAGCCCAGTGTCCTAGCAACCAGCCGTACTGATGCTTTCTTAGGGCCATTTGGGTCCTCGGCACATGTTGCCTAGCGAGTGGAACCTAAAGCTTGCTAGCTCCACAGCAAAACAACCCCAGGCAGGCTCCTTTCCCCAGGGAGCGTGGCCCTGTATGGTGCTGAGCAGCATCCAATCCCACTACAGTTGCCAGGCAGAACTTGACCCAAACCAAGGGCAAAGTTAATCTTGACTCCTCAGAGTAGATCAGCGCCACAATTTTCCTTTTCCTTCATGTGTGGGCTCTGTCTAGGGTTGCCAGATACTTTCAAAAATAATACCTAACATGGCGGGAAGAAAATTGGTTGAGAAAAAAAAATGGGAACCAAGCTGCGCTTTTAAATAACCCCACGCTCCCCACTCCCACGTCAGATGCAGCAGGGGAAGAATGTCCCTACTGGCTTTCCATCTGAGAAAAACAGAAAATACCAGACATTTTACATATCCGGTATTTTCTGTTTTTTTTTAATAGGACAGAGGTGGCAAAAACCAGATTGTCTGGATGAAAACCAGACACCTGCAAACCCTAGCTCTGTCAGGAGTATGCAGCTGCTGCAGCAAGAGGAGAAATCTACCCCGGTTCACATTTTCACTCTGTGAAGCCTTGCCCGCCCTCGGTCCTGGTTCTCACACCAGTGCCCACGGAGGCCATACTGTCATCACCAGTAAGCATAATCGCCATAGCAACGGGACCTTTCTGATGTCCTCAGGGCACCAGGTCTTTCAGGGCCCAGCACTTGGCAAAGCAAACAGGTCATGGCAGAGTCAAGACACCACAACGGTGACTTCTGACTATCACAGGATGCATCTCTGAGGCAGCGTCAGCTTATTATACTTCTACTAATCTCCACTAGGCCAAGGGCCTATTGTTTCCCCACAATGATGTGTTGTGAGGCACTGCCTTCAGGCAGGGTCGAGGCTCCCATTAACATGGCGTGGGGGGAGGTACTGCTGCTCTGAAGGCCCAGTGATCCTGCACAGCGACTGTCTTCCTCCTACCTGGGGTAGGCAGGGTAGGATCCCCTGTGAGACTGCAAAGTGAACGCGAGGGGCATCTGAAGACAGCATCAGGGGATCCACTTACAATGGATCCCTCTGAGTTTGTGGGCCTCCTAGGGCATGTCTACACAGCAGGGCTAAAGCCGAAATAAGCTACGCAACCCGAGCTATGTCAATTGCCTAGCTGAAGTAAAAATAGCGTACTTCGGCTTTTGGCACTGTCTACGCAGCAGGAAGTCTGAGCAAGAGCACTCTTCCTCCAACTTCCCTTACTCCTCGTAAAATGAGGGTTACAGGAGTCGGAATAAGACGTCCTCCGGCTTGACATTATTTTGACATTATGTCGAAATAACTGCTTGTAGTGTAGACGCTGACTATGTTATTCAGGAATCACGACAATTATTCAAAAAAAAAATCACACTGCTGTGTAGACATATCCCTAGAGAGGCTAGCTGGGCCAGAGATGCTTCCCAAGAAGGTATCTTCACCCCAAGACCAACCCTTCCAGAGCACTCCCCTTTGGTTAATGGTGACCATTTCCTTGGTCATGAGAGCAACTGGGTTGCTTCACAGTTCATAGTTCATAGACTTTAAGGTCAGAAGGGACCATTATGATCATCTAATGATCTATCCCAGTATGTCCCTCCCTGCAATCCCACGTGCTCTCCACCAGTTCTCTCTCAGGGTACGTCTATACTGCATCCCTAGATCGGACTAGGGATGCAAATGCAGTCGACCGAAGTAGTTAATGAAGCGGGGATTTAAATATCCCGCGCTTCATTAACATGATCTCACTGGCGCGCTAGTTCGAATCACAGCTGATTCGAACCAGGAAGTGCGTGCCGGGACGCGTTAGTTTGGACTAAAGCCCTTAGTCCGAACTAACATTACTCCTCATTTTTTGCAGATCCCATGCCTTGGATCATATGTTAATCATGGAGATTCTAGGGGACTTTGGCAGGCTGAAGGGGGCAGGCATTGTCATAATTATAAATATCTTTCATGGATGAAAAGAAATGCCATTGGATTGTACAGGACGTACTTTATGCATTGCACCAGGCCCTCCATAAGAATCCGGTATAAATGCATTCCTTGATAAAACCTGGATGACATTGGTATAATTCATTACCTTCAAGGGGGTGACTTCATATAGACATTGGCGTAGTGGCAGGAAGAATTTTGTCCACCTTGTTTAATCATTACCATTCATAAATTTACTGCGTAGTTCATCCGTCCCAGGTGTATATATACTGTGCTTACCAGTGGGAGATATTCTGTTCCGTGGGGTTTTGACCCAGCTGTGATCTGCCCACAAATGCGTTTGCATTTTTTAATAGACTTCGTCACAGATCCAGAGCCACTGTATTGTAAAACGTCCCAGACGGGGGCTGTGACCTTGCCTTCTGCAGCAGAACACTTAACCAGAGATTTCAGCCTGCTGCAAATGTCATCTTACATAGAAGGCATATTTTTTGGCCTTCATTTCAATGTGGTTTCAAGTACAGAATGTCACAGAGGGAGGCCATCCCAGAAATTAAGTAGCAGGAAGTAATATTCTAGCAGCATGAGGTAGAGTGTTCATTTTCTTCCCCACAGTCAACTTCATGATAAAACTTCATAGGCTTTCTGTGGAAACCGCAGAGTCAAAGAAGGTATAGAGCTCTAGGATGCTGGTGAGCCTGTCTCAGTGCTGTGTGAGAATGAAGGATGGGACACTTTGCACGATGGATGTGACATTGGGGGGCTGTGTCTAGACTGGCCACTTTTTCCAGAAAAGCAGCTGCTTTT